GTGAGCAAAATACCCACAAGAAAACTTAGTGAGGGAAAAGTTTATTTTTATTCATAATTTTAGAGCAATGGCCATTACTCAATCCATGGTTGGCCAATTCCATTGCTTTGGCCTGAGGTGAGGCAGAATCAAGGCAGAAAGGTATGGTGGAGGAAAGTTGCTCAGCTCATGGTAGATAGGAAGCAGTGACAGAGTGTGTAGGCACCAGGAGCCAGGCACAAAATAAATCCTTCAAAGGTACACCCCAGTGACCTACTTCCTCCAGCTATGCCCACCTGCCCACAGTTGCCATCCAATAGTACATTCAAATTATGATCCCATCAAATGGATTAATCACCGATTAGGTTACAGCTCTCATAATCTAATTATTTCACCTCTGAACATTCGTGTATTGCCATATGAGTTTTTCAGGGGACATCTCATATCCAAACCATAACATAAATATACTGCTATAGAATCTTGTGTGCGTTTGTGCTGGTTCTTACGAAGGACAGCTATGATAGTCAAATAAAAGTTCACCAAGTCAAAGAATGTTATGAGTGCCTGAGTAATAAACAGTAGCATAGCTAACCAGATTTCATAATTTCTGGACTTCTTGGTACATTGATTCTCATTATTTAATGGATTTAATGTAGCCCTTCAAAGAAACACCAGAAAAGAGGTTTAATTTCAATTTAGAGCAAGTAATTCTGCTAGCATTGAAATGGCTGATAAGGAGAAAATTATACAGTATCTACTTCTTCATTTGAGAATAACCACAAGTCCAGCCTCATTTCATGAACTGAATATGAGGAAGCCTACATGGTCCAAAGTCAGTGGACATTAGTAAGATCTCCTCTTCCTTCCCTGGTTTTATACTCAATCTGCCAACTCTCATCTCTTGATCTTGAAGGAATTCCAAAATTAGAAAGAAATTATTAAATATAAATTGTGAGAATGGTATCTAATGAATGCAAATTTATACTAAGGTATAAATTACTCGTATACTACCCTTACCCTAAAGAAAAAGAAAGTATCAAATCTTAGGAGAACTAGAATGCTATTGAGAGAGCAAAAGTAAGTGGTGTGGGAGAAGAGGAGATCATTAAGGTCTCCTCAATATTTTATTTTATGACAATTTTGTTAGGGATGGATTCAGAAAAAAACTGAATTGAAAGGATAAGAAAACAAAAAAAACCACAAAGCTGATGCTTTCATTCCTTGTATAAAGGACATATTAGTATCTACATTAGTCTATTTGTTTCTTAGGAATTGAAGTATTTGGGCAAGCAAAGTTAAAGAGATCTCTAATCAGCATTAACAAATCTCTTGCTAGTCCTGTGGTCCAGGCCAAAGGGCTAGCTATGGAATCTGGATCACCAACAAGACGTATGTTTAACTCTGGTTCTTTTTTCATTAAATACTTCCTATTTAGTCCACATGTAAAGTTGTAAATCTGTTCATATCACACATGGAAAAAGTTGATGTTGAAATGGTTCATCTATCTAGCGTCTCCTCTCTTCTACAAGTTAGGCATTCAAAGGAAATTGGAATTATCCTAAAATTGATCAGAGAATTCCCACTCCTTGTAATGTCTGAAATGGAAACCCACAATTAAGTAACATTATATTTTAAAGCATTGTTAGCTATTGGAAAACCATACAAGTGTAATTGATGTTGGGGGAAAGATTTCATAACCTAGGAATCTCCACTTAAGTCAATGTACTTATCATAAATCAGCAGATTGGCTATCCACTCAACTTGGGAAAATTCAGTCTATATTCTTAAATAGTCTTCATGTATGTAGATTTTTTTAGGCACATAAGTAAACTTTTAAGATAAAATAAATAAATACATGTCTAAATTTATGCCCACCAAAGAATTGGGTTCCCATCCCTTTTCCCCATCTTATTCATATCTACTTGTAACAGAACCAGTCAATACATACATGCTATTCATGTAATATCCTTACTTTATTTCTATAACCAGAAAAAAAAAAAAAAGAAGTTTGGTTTCAAAAGGTTAAAAAAAAAAACTTTGCTCAGGTGATACTGGGAAAAGACTTGTTAACACCTACTGAATACTCTCTGTATCATCTTATTATTTTCCCCACTGTTGAGATATGTAGGGGTTCTGTGTTTGGGATTGGGGTCCCTGATGACTTCATGGATGTGGCATGCTTGGTACCTGGGAACGTTTCTGTGCAAAGGCATAGGATGCCCAGTTGCTATGGTAATGTCCTCCATGATAGAGTCTTATTGGTTTCAACCTTAATCTTAGGCACATAGCTCCTGGGAATAGAACTTGTTTGCTAGATAACTACAATGTTTTACCAGTGCTCCTGGAGCTGCCCACCTAACAGTAACGTCAGACAATGGACCTTCTTGAGAACTGTACAAAGCTCCTAACATTGCATATTGTAACTGTGAAATGTAACTGCAGAATAAGCAACCTTACCCAATACTCTAAACAACAACGTGGTCATGGTACTAATGATCTAATGTAACATTGTTATAAATAAACGTGGCCACTTAGACAAGGAGCCACTTTGCCACCTTCCCTGCCCCTGTACCTTGTCTCTGTGTCTCCTTTCTTTGAGTTTCTTTACAGAGATATGCCATATGAATACAATAAAAATATCTGTTGGTAGATTATTTATTTGAAGAAGTTGAAGGAGTTTTGCCTTAATAAAGGGAATTCCTCACCACTAGTGGAATTTCAGAAACTTTTTTGGACCTCAGGTAATGAGCCACAATTTTCCTCATGGCAGACTTCATATCTCTATTTCTTAATGTGTATATAATTGGGTTTAGGATGGGAGTAAAAATAGTATAAAATATGGCAAGAACTTTATCCACAGGGTAGGTGGTAAAGGGCCACACATAGATGAAGATGCAAGGCCCAAAGAATAATATTACAACTGTGATATGGGCAGCTAGAGTGGAAAATGCCTTGGCCATTGCAGCTGAGGACTTGAACCAGACAGTGACAAGAATGATGACATAAGAGCTGACTAGGACAGAAAAAGTGCTTAGGGAAAGAATTCCACTATTGACCACAATGAGAATTTCAATGATGTAAGAGTCCAGGCAGGCAAGCTTGGTTACTCGGGGAAGGTCACAAAAAAAGCTGTCCACCACATTGGGCCCACAAAAAGGCAGGTTCACTGTAAATGATAACTGACTTAATGTGTGCACCAAGCCCACAGTCCAGGAGATTACCACTAAGACCATGCATGTCCTCCAGCTCATGATGACCAGGTAGTGTAGAGGTTTACATATGGCCACATATCTGTCATAAGCCATGGAGACCAGCAGTACCATCTCCCCTCCAGTAAAAAGGTGAATGAAGAAAATTTGGGCTATGCAGCCATTGAAGGAGATGGTCTTGTGTTCACTCAGAAAATCTGCAATCATCTTAGGTGTAGCAAAAGAAGCCTGACAGATGTCAACGAAGGAAAGGTTTCCCAGGAGAAAGTACATGGGGGAGTGCAGGCTGGTATCAGAAGTTACTGTGATGATAATGAGGAGGTTTCCTAACACAATGACTACATACAACACAGAAAAGAAAGCAAAAAAGAAAAGCTGGAGTTCTTGAGAACTAGAAAGTCCCAGCAATACAAATTCAGAGACTCCTGAAGAATTGGCCTTGTCCATGGGTCCAGGTGGCAGACCTGCTCTGAAACGACCCTAAAGGAGGGGAAAGAAAGAGGGGTTAGTACTATGAACTAAGAATATTTATTGTGAAGAAGTCCGAGACCTCATATATAATATGT